AAAATAAAAATCCCGTGTCCAGGGATTTTTTTTTGCCATGCATTGGTCATAGAGCTCTTTGTGGCGTTGCCTCAGATGTTGAACTAGATTTTGTTGCGCCAAGTTCACACGTACTCCGTCTGCAGTGCGTATACAGTATGTGTATGCGGTAACAGTAGACTTTAATTATATGCATTTATGGTGTAATTACTACATTTCCGTGTCAATCCATGTTAATTTTTACCGCGAATAATGCGCTGTCACTTTAATTCAGTGCGTGCAGCACAGCAGAAATAGATTCAGTGTGGAAACGATTGCAGCATGGCTCCTGGAGCGCACTACACTACTCGCGTGCAGTGTGAACGCTCTGATCCGTTAACATGGGCGCGGAAAAAATACGCACCACAGACGGAGTGTGTGAACCTGGCGTTACGTTTGTATGCCCGCCCTGTCTGTTCTGTTCTCGTGCTCCATTTAGGCACGCTGCATTCTGATTGGTTCGGATAGCATACTGCGGGAGGTCGGGGGCGCGGAAAATCGTGCTATAAAGTGATTTAGAAATCGCGCAAGCTCAAATCGCGATTTTATGACGATTTCGATTAATCGCACAGCCCTACTTGATAAACTTCTTTACTAAATAAAGGACTAACTTCAACACTCTCTGTTGAGGAACCTTAAAGTAAACCATTACCACATACTAAAAGAGAACAGTGCACATGACAACAGCTAAATCGATCAACATAAGAACTGCCACCAGACTACATGGACCTGAGTGATGTTCTAGTTCCCTGTGTCTATCACAGAGCACTGACATCTTTATGACTCAACTTAAATAAATCACTATTCCCCTCCGAGTGCTAATCCAGTCCCTTATTCTACAAAACGTCTGCCTGTCAAGAGGATGGAGTGCTGCTGCTCCTGAAGTTTCAGTGCTGATACAGAAACCAATTTGCTGCTCAGTGAATTCTGCAAAGCAATTAATTGGCTATTTTGTCCATGCCTGTAAATTCATCTTGGAAATGAATGAGCTTGATAAAAATTAATCGTCATTGGAGATGAACCATGACTGCTTGAATTTGTGTGTGAACCCTTACAAGCCACATGGCCAGTTGTCAGTGCGTAATATCTCAAGGGATGTGTCTATGTCTAAAGGGGGAAAAGATCAGTAACTACAGTCACAGCGTGTTCACCTTTACAGACTCCAGTATGGGTTTAACCATTGGAGTACACAGTTTTTTTGGGGAACAGCAGTTACTGTAATTTTAACAAACATCATTAAGATCAAAGCAACGATCTCACTGATGGCAATTTAACTGGGGGAGGTCGACAAACTGCTTTACGGTTGTTTGCAAGTAGGCATTTACACTCGATTGCAATATCCAACTGTATTCATGAGGTGAATTACATGTGCAGCTGTAAGGCGAACTGTCTGCACTCCTACTGGTTGTTGCCAGTGTTGCTTCTCTGTTGCATTTGCAATTGTCTCATGCTGTCTCAAAGTTGCTCCGTTTCTGTCAGTGTCACTGTCAGTGTGATCACCCCTTAACACCCACACATTAAGTTAATATGTTAAAGCAGACACCAATGTGAGATGCAGAAATCATGTTTCACCATTGATTTCTGAACAGTATGGGTTCTTACTATACTGTTTAAGATGACACACTAGGTAGATGGTTGTGCTTCATCCGCCTCTAGAATGCAGGAGTTTTTGAAGAGAAATCATCAGTTCATCAACAGGGCTTTCATAAGTCACATGAGCTCTACAGACGTGTGCGTCTATGATGCAATTTCTTCGGCATGATATTAAAATTTGCTTGAAAAAAAAACTTATTGTGAATAGATCGTTGCTGCACATTTTTCCAAATAAAAAAAGTCATCAAAATATGAATATTTCAATAATAAATTCATCAATAATAATATATTTATTTACATATTTATAAATATTTTTTTATATGTGACCCTGGACCACAAAACCAGTCTTAAAGGGTTAGTTCAGCCAAAAATAAAAATTAGGCTGTGTTTTACTCACCCCCGATGCATCCTAGGTGTATATGACTTTCTTCTTTCAGACGAATCCAGTTGGAGTTATATTAAAAATTGTCTTTGATCTTTCAAGCTCTATCGTTGTACTCAGCGGGTGTTGCATTCCTTCAGTCCAAAAGACGTGAAATAAAAAGCACCCTTCCACAAAAAAAAAAAGTGTCTCACACGGCTCCAGGGGGTGAACAAAGGCCTTCTGTAGCGAATCGATGCATTTTTGTAAGAAATTTCACGTCTTTTGGACAGAAGGAATGCAACACCCGCTGAGTACAACGATAGAGCTTGAAAGATCAAAGACAATTTTTAATATAACTCCGACTGGATTCGTCTGAAAGAAGAAAGTCATATACACCTAGGATGCATCGGGGGTGAGTAAAGCACTAATTAAAAAAAAAAAAAAGCCTAATTTTTATTTTTGGGTGAACTAACCCTTTAAGTCGCTGGGGTATATTTGCAGCAATATCAAATACACAAAATAATGTTCTTTTTAGCAGCATCATATGACCCCTTTAAAGGCAATTTTCTCAATATTTTGATTTTTTTGCACCCTCAGATTCCAGATTGTCAAATAGTTGTATCTCGGCCAAATATTGTCATATCCTAACAAACCATACATCAATGGAAATCTTATTTATTCAGCTTTCAGATGGTGTATAAATCTCAATTTCAAAAAATTTACCCTTATGACTGGTTTTGTGATCCAGGGTCACATATAAATTGCAAACAGTATTTCATGTTGACTTTAAAAAGCTTATTGAAATTATGTGTGAAACACGGACAAGTTTAAAGACTTTAAAAAAAGATAGGACACTGATGCTTATATTTACACTAAGCTTAACCACCAAAGCTACTGTTACCTCTAATGAAAGGTGTCTATCTACAGCGGGTGCTGCGTTTACTAATGTTCGCCTGTTAAAAGGTACATGCAGGCGTCATGGCCAGATTTTACAGTTCTATATAGGTTTTACTATCTCCTTGGTATTTAGTTTTACAGACCACTGCCACACCAGCTGTGAGTTACAGACACAGTTAGTGAGATGAAAGACGGGAGGCAGAGACACGTCAACCAGAAGCACTCTTTACTGGTTTTGTTTCAGATGGTGTTGCTGTAGATGGAGATGGTTTGGACTCTGTCAGGATCACTGGCTGAAAGGTTCGGCGTGTGATGGTTTTAACCACCTTGGTCACCTACAGTGGAAGTATGTTAGTTCAGGTGGCATGAGTTGGAAAAGTATACAATGATATGGAAATGTCAAGTCTTCTAACAGGAATGAAAGGGAAACTGTTAAATGAAAGCCTGTTTAAAAAGTATGACTTTTCCCATGAAGCCTTGTTAACAGTTCAGAACAGTCCAAAACACAAACTGAGCCAGAGAATTAATTTTTGATATGAATTATCTGGCTAAACAAGAAAACATAAGAATGCCTTTGAGACAAGATATTATTTTTATTGTCTCATTTTGTCCCTCACAAAAGAGTAATTCCAGCATTTAATAGAACATTCCTCTAGCAGGAGGAAGCTGGACGATTTCCAAGAGAAGAAAACACAGAAGCCGAAGAAAAACAAATTATTTCATCTGAGCCTTCTACACATAAGCTGTTTAACTTTTCAACTAAAGGAATTCTCAAAAATGTATTTATTTATAATATTTGGCTGCAAATTTTATTAGACACAATTTTAAGTAACTTTTGAGCATTCCATTAGAAAAGTACATAAGTCAGTCTGTGATGTTTTTATTTAAATCACTGTATGTTGCTAACTAACCATTTATACACAGTTAAAGAAAACTTAACATTATGTATAAAACAATTTCGCTATTCTAAAATAAGCTTTTATACCAACGGATGTCCACTGAAAATAAAGTCTGCAAAATGATGGCTTCGTAAGCAGTATACTGCATATCTATAGGCACATCCGTGTTTGAACATCCCGTCTACTAAGGTGCCTTCATCAAATCGTTTTTTGTTCTGTATGCACAGGATTATGGTATACGTCTATGCTGCCTACAACATCCCACAATCCTGTGCATGCAGTTCAAATGTTGGCGTAAAAAAAAAAAAAAAGGCTTCTGATGAAGTGACTGAATGAAGTAAATTAATTCATCAATATCCATTTTTCATTCATATCATTCTATTTCTATTAATAAATAAGCAGTGTAGCCATAATATTTCCTTGGTTATCTCTGCCGCTCACCTGAATTTGATCAAGATCATTAGATATAATGTTATGGTGCCATTTTCTTTAGAAAGTACATTGATGCTGACTGTGAATATAAAGGTACTTACTTTGGTTTCAAATACATCCAGAGTGTAACAGAACGCATAGATTTTATCCTACATACCCAGAGCTCTGTGGTTGGAGTTGATGTATTTATGTGACTATAAGCTTGTCTCCACAACCCCGATGTCAGTCCAAACACACTAACATGTGACAGAAGGACCCACACATGTGCGCACACATGCGCTTCATGCTCTGTGATGTTATTCCTTAGGTGTGTTTCATAGGTTTGTCAATGTGTGAGTGGTCTAACGGTAAGAAACAGTGCAGCAGTAAGATCATACCTTACCCTTCACTTCCTCCCACTATGCATCAACTGTCAGTTGCGTTACACTGTAGAACAGAGCTCTTTCTATGTGCACATTGGTTAATGCTTGTGCATGCATAAAGCTGTTTGTTTTTGTGTGTGCACTGATATGAATTGTACACTTTACATAATTCCTTTCACATAAGTTTACATGTCCTTTTGCAGAATGTGTAAGATGTTTTTTTAAAAAATAAGAGAGATCTTTTTTTTGGATTTGTACTGCCTCAGAAGCAGCACAACAGATACTTAAAGATGTGATGAAATTGAAGTATTGACAGATCTTTTCTTCCATATTGTGACATACATCGTAATTGTCTGAACAAATTGAGTGAGGACTTGGTTTTATCCATCAGTTATTGATTAGATGGATGTAAATTTAAATGCAAACTTGGGTCAAATTGAGACATTCTGATTAAGAATTATGAGCTAAAAAAAAAAAAATTACATGAATGGATAAATCATTCACAACACAATAAGATGCATTTAGAAAACTGTGAATTTCATGCTAGCTTTAAGTATGTTACAAAAGACAAAAAAAGGACTAAAATGACACAAAGAGTTTACATAATATTCTTAATATCATGAATGAGTCCCTCAGTTGTTTCTAGTGGCAAACTGGATCTTAACATTGAGTCACTAGCCATAGTATGTTTACATACTGTATGTTTTTCCTCAATTCAAATTCAACAATGCAATCCAAATGCAATGTTTATATGTGCCTTCAACTCTGCAATCAAAGAACATAACTGTTTAGAACCACATGTATTCCAAACAAACGTTCTGTGTTCACTCAAAGCAACATTTGGTTTCAGTGTTTCCATAGCAACGAGAAGCTATCAGCACTCCTTTCTGAACAAAAAACACCACAACAATCTGTAACTGGCATGTTTACATTTCGACATACTTCACCTAGCAATATGGCAAAACATCCATCTGCTCATGTTTCTAACTTTGCTTATTCAGCTTGGCATAACTATAGCATCATTAGGGCAGTATTTTTTTTTAATGCAATTTGTATGATCCCTCAAATCTTGCAGACTCAGAAAATAACTGGGGCTTTTGGCAAAAATGCTAGAGAAAATTAAAATATTTAATATTAAAATTGTGTTATTCTCTCAATTTTTTTTTTTTTTTTTTATAAATGATAAACATTTAGCAGAATCTGCAAGGGGTATGTAAACTCACAAACAGGACTGTAGCAGTAAAGGGTGTTAAGAGGTGACCGCTCTGCCAAATGAAGCTTTATGCAGTGATTTCACACCAGTGCTGAGATGCTGTGCATTGTTGAGCTTCAATGGGCACAAATAATGGTGACTGACAAGAGGCGTGTGTGAGAAAGCGTATGTGAGGGAGAGATTTTAACTCACCTTCATATTAGTCACATTGTCCTTTTATAAACAACAAAACAAAAGCAAAGGCAAATCAAGACTGTGTGGCTTAGAAAACTACAACATAAATGGATAGATCTAAACAGTTATTTACTATTACTGAGAATATTTCTCTTTAGAATATTTTTATATCTTGAAAGCCTTCAACTTTCTAGCCTAGTCATTTTGTCATCGTGTATTTTTGTAAATTCTCTCAGGTTCAAAACAGCTGAGCTGTCTTACTGGTAAAGAAGCACTAGTCTGTCATGTTAATCCCTTTGTCTGATCACTAAAGAGCTGATTGGGTGAAATTAAACACCAGCTTGTTCTAGAACCCTCTGACTACTGTAAACCACATCAAAACACCTCCCACTAATCTAGACAAAAGGTTTATACCAGTGTTGTTATTTTTAAATAAAACAGCAAAAAAATGTGTTAATTGAAATAAAGCTAAAATGAAATAAAAATAAAAATTTTAAAAACTTAAAACTGACAAAACCTTAAATTATAAATGTTGCCTTGCCAATTAACTGAAATAAAATAAGTGTGAAGTTGAAGTAATAGAAATAAAATTACTAAAACTAAACCCGAAATAAAAATAAATGAAATCAAAATAGAAAAAGAAAGAAGACAAAATTACATAACACAATGCATAAAACTTTAAAATTAAAAAGTTAAATGAAGAAAATACAAACATAAGCTACCTCAAAATATTAATAAACACTATAATAGCATATTAACAGAACTAAAATAACAGTGATATGAATCACTGATACAAATACAGATTTTTTTTCCCATGTAAAAATGTCAACAAGAAGACCTATTATTTCTTCTTGATATAATTCTACATTTCACACAATGCATGAATATATTCATTAATATATTAATATAATAATGAATATAGTCTTTAGCTAAATATAAAACAGCTCATCTCCTAAGAGTCTCTTTATAGTACTTCAGCAAAGAACATCACAAGATGATGTGAGCATGAATGAGCACTTGTGTGCATTTACATATCTAACAATGTCATAATATGCACAAACAAGACATTTGAAAATGTGGCAGATGTAAGCAGCAATACCTTAGTCTCTGTACGGCGTGTAGTCCCATCCTCTGAGGTAACCACAGAAACATGAGAGGTGGGTGTGCCGGGGTCTTCCTCTATGGTTACAATCTCCTCCATAACCTCCTGGGGCTCCTGCATCATAGCCAATGATGTCTGGTTACTGGGGCTCTGCTCCTTTGGGACAAAGCAGAGGGTGGTGATTCAAGGTCAGAGGTCACTGCTGTGGGATTAGATAATAGATGAGGGAATATTTTAATTTTGCTAACCCTTTCTACTCATAAGAAAGCATATAGCAAATGAATGACTTGAGCAGGAACTCAATGCAAGTACTTGTCTGTCTCAGTATAGTGAATGTAGTCAGAAGCGGTCTTTTTTAATGAATCATCGAAGAAGACTCATGAATTTTTGGGAGTTAATGATGAACCAGTCTGACAGTTGCAACATCTGTTCCTGAATCAAATCAATGTGACACACGTTTCAGTGATGTCCATCTCAAAACGAAAGCAAAGTTTTATGTAATTACATTATGAAAACTTAAATGAGTATCATTACTGATTGTTTGAGTCTCTAACATAAGTCTCAATAACAATAAGCCAATAAGTCTCTAACAAAAGCTGCATTTATTTGATCAAAACTGTTTTCTTTGTTAAAGGGTTAGTTCACCCAAAAATGAAAATTCTGTCATTAATTACTCACCCTCGTGTCGTTTCAAACCCGTAAGACCTTCGTTCATCTTCAGGACACAAATTAAGATATTTTTGATGAAATCTGAGAGCTGTCTGACCCTGCATAGACAGCAACGCAACTGAAATGTTCCCAAGTCCAGAAACGTAGTAAGGAGATCTGTAAAATAATCCATGTGACATAAGTGGCTTGGCATTAACATGCGACCTGTATCCGGATGTTGTCCACAT